TTTTTTTTTTTTTTTTTTTTTTAAATTAGCCAGTCTTAATAGGGCTTGCTTTACAAACTCAAGCCTACTGGTTGTAAGCAATGCCGCAGTAACCTTAATTGTCAAAAATCATGGAGCCGTTGAACGGCATGGTAAAAGTAATTTTGCATCTTTGACATTCCGAATATGTAAAAATTGAGAATAAGAAGGTCTTCTAGTTATAATTCAACTCAAATCATGATAGAGCACTTTTTAAATGTCACTGCAATTTCCTCCTGTGAGCTAGGAAGGAGAGGAGCGATAACAACACCACAGTATCAATATTAGGCAATTTCACTGTGTTCAGTGCTCACTTGGCCACACTAGAGGATAATGGAAAAAAATCATTTTGGTTTTATTTTGGAGGGGGTTTTATACTTTCATTTGAATATGAACGTGTCAGAGCATTTGGACATTCCCTTAGAATGACTTAATGAAGCAAGGTTAGGAAGAATTGGGAGTCTGCCTGCCCTCTCTCCAGGCTGCCCTACTGCAATATAGTTTCTGGGTGAATAAGGGTTCTTTTACAGAACTATTGAAAGGTTTGTGGCCCCTCTAGCTTTTCCTACAGAAGTGATGGTGACTGGGCCTCATATTGCTTTTCCACGTGCAAAGAAAATAGAATTGAAGTGAATCAACCAAACAATATTTTTTCGAATCAAGATGAATGTGGTCATGCAAGGTGTGTAGAGTATAAAGCCATGGTAAAGGCCATGGTCTCTGCCCATTTCAAAGGATGTGATTTGGCTGAGGGGATGACCTGCTAAACAGCAGGAAGCTATCCACTGCAGCTTGTCATAAAGAGGTAAGCTGGTATGGATGGCTAAGGCTGTCGAAATTTGAAAGAACTGGAGATCATGGGGGGCTGGAAAGGTCAGAAAAGAATTCAGGAAGGAGGGGAGATGTAAGCTGGGTCTTGAAAGGTGCACAGAAAAGGGAGGATATTTCAGCTAAAAAGAATGAAAACACCATGGGACACTTAGAGGCATGAATATCCAGAATGTTTCCATACACCAGTACCATTAAGCAACTAGGGTTCTCCTATGGAAAGTAAGTGAGATATTAACACCACGAACTCCTCAGCAGAGCAAGCCTTAACTGTTCATAAAGCTAAGAATGAGCTGGCAAATCTAGCCACCATTAATAGGCATTACCTATAGTCCAAGTATATCACATAGTGATTCTGAATTATATTTCTTGAAACATCAGCATCCACATATATTCAAAGGGAAAAGTTCTGATATTTTCAGCTGATGATCAAATTGGATGATGCACAGCTGATTTGATTTGCTGTATAGTGAATTTTGTCATTAGGATGATTACAAAAGAAACTAGACACTGACAAATTCATGAATTATTTAAAGTTATGAACTCTGTGTAGCAGGTGGGTATCCTAGGCCCAAAGAATGTGAAAGTAATGAAAACGTAGGAATGTTACATATTTCTAAGGGTTTATATGTTTACATATTTCTAAAAGCTCAAGTGAACGCCAATAAATGAGAGAGAGTGGCTAATATGGTGATGTAAGACATGTCATGATGGCAAAACTCTCATGAGATCTACATTTTCGTCATGCTAGTCACCAGTCTTCCCTTGTAGGAGATGGAATGACCAAAAATTCTGGATCTCTCTGGCACTGGGTGTCAGTTTGACCATGTGCAAAGTTTAAAATTCAGCTACCTAATATATTAAAACAGGCTGATAGTCCCCTCCCATTCCTCCCAGACAAATAGGTCTCCAGTCTATGGCACTGAGCCCCAGAGAAGGAAATCACTTGCCCAAGAATTGCACTGAAGTCAAAAGCCAGATATTCTACCCAAAGCAAGTAGAAAAGGAGAGGGAAAAGCTCAGTATCTGCAAATATTAGACAGTGCAGCCTCAGGGCAGATAAGTTCTCCTACTTGTGAGAAGATTAAACAAGACATTGAAGAAAGTTAGGGAATCTCCTTCCATAAATATTTAGAATTTTTAATCCAGTATTTATTTGGAGACAAGTAGATGGGAATAATTATTCTTTTCTGTTTGGTTTCTACTAAACCTCTGTTCCCAAACATCATTCTACGAGACAATAATTTTTATATCTTATTGGAAAAACAGAAAAGCCCTAAGTGAGCAGGTAAAAACTTTATAATTGAGAGAAAACAGGAAGAAAAGAAAATATTTTGACACAGAGCAAGACTCCTGACTGCAAACAATATAGACTCTCTCAGGTCACCTTGGAAAAATGGGAGATTTACCAGGAGAAGCTCTGGACTGGGCAGATATGGAAACCTCCAGAAACAATGGCAGCTCTGGGTCTGGCTGTTCTCCCATCTCTCTCTGGGGCCACCCTGACTCATCCTTCTCTCCTTTCTGACCAGTTTCTTGGCTTCCTCATGGCTTCTGCTCCCTCATAACCAGCTTACACATGGCATTCATTATAGCCTCTTGGGCCCCTCTCCAACCAAGACCCTTCAGTTTCAGCTCAGTGCTACAACCTAGCATATTCTTGGTGGACTTAAGCTCTCAGGAGCATGACTCTGATTGGCCCAGTTCACCTACTGGAGTCAGATTGCATTTTAGACCATTGTCTGGCCAATGCAACGGTGGCCCTTAGGTCAGGTGCCCACCACCAGTCCAATTCACCAAAGCAGATGATGGGTGGGAGGCAAAAGGGTGTGGTGAGAGCATTGCTCATCAGAAAGGGCTGAGGCACAGGCAGGCTCTGATTACTAATGAGGACCAGCTTTCCTTCAGAACCAGCAAAAATGCCCTTAAACTGCAGCCTGAGGGCATGTTTTATTTTTTTATTCATTCAATCATGTATTAATTCTTACCTATCTCTACAACAAAAGATTTGAGATGACTTACACAACTATGTACAATATAAAAGGACCAAATAGTTGAGAAATGTAGGCAAATGGGGAAAAAAAAGAGAATTTGTCCCTATTTCACAGGGACAAAATTAGTACCAAGTAGTCTATAACACTCAACATTAGAAAATTGCTAAAAGTAGGTGCTATTGTCTAAATGTTTGTATGCCCCACCACTCCCCAAATTCATATGTTAAAACCTGATCCCCATTGAAACAGTATTAAGCAGTGAGGCCTTTAGGAGGTGATTGGGCCATAAGGACAGAGCCCTCATAAATGGGATTAGTGCCCTTATAAAAGAGGACTAAGGCAGCTTGTTCTCCCCTTCCACCACATAAGGATGCAGCAAGGAGGAACCATCTTTGAAGCAGAGAGTGCAGCCCTCACCAGATACTGACTCTGCTAGTGCCTTGATCTTGGACTTCCCAGCCTCTAGAACTGTGAGCCATAAATTTCTGTTGTTTACAAATTATCTAGTCTAAGGTATATTGTTAAAACAGTGGGAAGGGACTAAGACAGTGGGCCTTGAATTTGTTTCTAAATCTAAGACCTGTCAAACTTAATAGCAAGTGGCTACATATAAGAGGAAAGTCCAGGCAGAAAATGTCATTTATAGAAGAGGTTATAAGCCCACCCTGTGGAAGTCTGTCTCTCAAAAGAGACAGATTCTCTTCTTTCTGTGTTCATCTGTGGGCTGCCTTGATAGGGAAGAAGATGCTAAATTATGTCTCAAGGCTTCTTCTGGTCTTGATTTCATAGCAGTGGTTGAAATTTCATTGACTGGGCCAGAAAACAAATTATTAAGAAGGCAAAATTTTATGTGGCTGAAACCAACCTCCAACACAACTTCATTCCTCTGAAGCCTTAGCCCCCAGCCCCCTCCAAAGTTGGAGACATAGTTGGAAAGCTGAAAAGGCAGATCATACATTTCTCATTTCTTTTTTATTGTGTATTGTAAGGCAAGAAGTACTTAAGAAGGCTGGCTCAGTCACTCCAGTTTTTTGCCTGTAGCATTTCCAGTACTCTCAGATCTTCTGAAGCTCTTTATTTACTACTTTTTTGCTTCCTTTTGATGATAGAGCAGTAAAAAGTTCTAGAAAGCTTGGTCCTGGAGCCTGACAATGGGTGAGTGCTACCCTGGGGTACCAGGCATGCCATGCTACATGAGATGAACCCTGAGAGCTCTGGAAAGTGAAATTGAATGTTCCCTCTCAGACTGGAACTGCGACTCCTTCTATATAAAAGGACAGCTGTCGTTTAATATTCATTGAGCAGCCACCATGTTCTAAATGCCATATGAAGCATATACATGATGTGACATTTGAAAAGAGAAGACTCGTTTGTGCAGGAACTGGTTACTGCTGATACTGGTTTTGATGACTGTACGGTAAGGGGTAGAAGGGACACTTGGTGCTTTAACTTTTGCTAACTGAGAAAAATGCTATGTGAATTGCCAGGATGGTTATCCTGAAAAATCATTTACAATATTCAATTAACAATAATTAAGGCACTCAGTGGGAAGCTCCTCACTGACTTGCTAAGTAGCAAAAA